AGTTAGAGCCAGAGGTGAAGAGCTACAACTCCCATCATCTCTGACATAAATGCTCTACATATATACATACATACAGCAGTGCTGGCAGGTGGCCTCTATGCCTGTGGCATAGGGAATGCCCTGTGGGATTTAATTCAAACTTCAGAGGAGCTACCCAAAGGGCTGAACCTATCTGGAGATAAGAGTTCAGCCCTATGGATAGAGTTCAGCCTCATTATAGTTTGGGCCAAAGCCCAGACTGGTTTCACTGCCCCACAGAGACACCTCTCTGGTTACATAGATGATGGTATTTTCTAGCTAAGCTGAAGTCCACTAACTTTGACTCTGCCTGTTCATCTCTGCAAGTCAAGCATCTCTTGGTGGGTTCAGTTGGTGGTGATGCAGTTTCTTTCAGACAGTCTTGATTACTCTGTGGCTGGCCATGGGGGCTGCAGTTGGCAAGGTTTGGTGCTGAGTCAAAACTATATCCCTCCTTCCCCTCCTTGTCTTACTCCATATTATAACACATCATTTCTCATTCTTCCCACTGCTGTTCCTTTGCTCGATTGTTCCTTCCCACACAACCTCCGTTCAGCAGAGCTATTCATCCACAAACCACACACACACACCCCTCCTGAGCTGTGATGATGCTTCCATCCGTTCCCTGTCCTTGCCACATCATCCTTCCTCAATACCAACTCGCTGGACAAAGGGTCTGCTGGCTATGATCAGAAGCCATGATCTAGGATCTACCAATTTATCTCTTTATCTACATGGTACCACTGTAGTCCCTTCCTTCTCTCACAGTCTCCTTCCCTCAGAGACTACCTTGTCAGAGAAATCCAAACTTATAACAGCCAAATTGGACCCTCACTGGGCTGATGATTCATACACAGATGTGTGTACATAACAACGGTAGTCTGTTGCATGCAGAGGGTGTGTGTGCCATGTTCATTCTCTGTTAAAGATGGGAGAATCTGTCAGATTTGCTCTTCCCACATCCATTTTTTTAAAATTCCAAGTTATTTCCATCCCTATTGAAGAATTACAAGTTTTCATATATTCTTAGAGGTGACATGATAACCATGTTTAAATATTTCAAGGGGTTTCATATTGAAGATGGAGCAAGTTTGATTTCTGCTGCTCTAGAGACTAGGGTACAGAGCAATGGATTCAAACTACAGGAAAAGAGATTCCACTTTAACATTAGGAAGAACTTCTTGATGGTAAGAACTGTTTGACAGTATAATACATTGACTCCTCATGTAGTGGAGTCTCCTTCTTTGGAGGTTTTTAAACAAAGGCTGGATAGCCATCTG